TAGCCTAATTGGCTCCCTCCTGTATCGAACTGTGTTTTGGATTCAGGCAGCTTTCTGGTGGAAAGGTTCGAAAAATCAAAAGAGCCTTAGATGGGCTAGTTGGGATAAATTGGTATCCCCAAAATGTGAAGGTGGGCTTGGATTTAGACAATCCACTTTACTTAATAAGGAAAAATCAGCGTGGCGCTTTCTTAATGAACCTCAATCTCTTTGGGTTCAACAACAATGGGTTGTTTCCTTGGAAAACTCCAGCTTTGGCTTCCCCAATCTAGAAAAAAGCATTAGTGCAAATCTAAGGGAGTTCTATTCTAAAATTGGAATTCAATTTACTTGCATCATCCACGTTGAATGTGTGGAATTCTCTTTGGGTTAATTTTGGAAATACTTTGTGTGCCCCAATGGATCCACCTACTCGTGGAGGGAAAATTTTCAACTCTTCGGGACCTGTTCACCCCATATCGAACACTTTTTAATTCTTTGGAGGTTAGTCTCATATTGAACACTTATCTTTCAGCATTATCACTTAGATAAGTCCATTTGGCCACTTTCAATGAGTGGCAAATTCTCAGTTAAAAGCTTGTATTGTCATATCTGGAAAGAATCTCAGGTCAGTCTAGATCCTAACATTTTACAGGTTATATAATTGATTTGGCAATTTAGGCCCTGTTTGGCAATATTCTTATGTGTTCCTGTTCTTTTAGAAATTCCTATTCTACAACACGAATTATTTTATTTCTTGCTTTTCAAGAGTAACAAATACGTTTGGTAAATTGTTCCTGAAGAACGATTTTTTGTTCTACCAGAACAAAAACAGCGTTTGGATAATGAAATTATTTCTTAACATCATCAAGTTTCATCAAACTTGACTCAGAGGGAACATTACATCAAACAGGTAAGAGGAGAATTTGAGCAAGAAAACCAGTCCAAATGGCAACGTTTGTAAGATGAGTGATGAGATTGCAACTTCTTACAGAGGAGGTAACATTAATGGTTGTAATAGATTTTGTTAATGCGGTGGGAGCAGAAAACGATTTCAAAGGTGAATCTGGCCGGGGTTTAAAACAGATGCCAAAAACCATACCTGTTGATGCTTGCCGATGTGTTCCACTCTCCATCCGGTTGGAGTCAAGCCCAGATCATCCTTCATCTGAGATTTGCAGCAGCAAGTTTTGGAGGAATTCATTGTCGAACAAAAGGGTTTTCTATTGTTTAGTGCGAAAAATCAAAAACACCCCTTCTCTCACGTGGATGTCCATCACACATCTTCGTAAATATGGGTTAACGTAGTGAAAACCACACGTTCCCTGGGAATGCATTATTTGGAGCATCGATTTTTCACTCCCAAAGAACGTGGAATTTGGTTCTCATGCGAGAATAAGGTGTTTTTTTTTTTATTATACCAAATACATTTCTGCCCCATCAGAACACGGAGAACATGCAAAACATTTCAAGGGAATGTTACCAAACAAGGCCTTAATGTTCCTCCTAAATATAAACTCTTTATGTGGAGATTAGTGAGAGAGGTTTTGTGATCGGTAAGAGGAAGTTAGGTATGTTTGGTATTATGTCAGATAGTACACGTCTTTTTTGTCAGGACGAAGAGAATATTATCCATTTGTTTTGTCTATGCCCTCTTTCTCGAGTTGTCCTTTTTGCCTCTCCTTGGGGGTTTAAGTTCTTAAGCAGGCAATTTGATTATCTGATTTAATATCGTGAAATTTCCCATTGCATATATTGAAAGATATGTTGGGTTGGCTAGCAGTAGCATTTTATTATTTTTGCGAGGCACGAAATGATTTATTGTTTCAAAATATTTTAAGTTTGTTGACAACGGTTTCAAAGTTTGTTTTTTTCTTTTTTTTTTTTTGAATTTATCATCTCCTGTTCCTGTTTTTTTTTTTTTTTTAATTTTTCTTAGACCTCCTTTTTTTTTCCCAAGTGTTGGTTGCGGAATTCCATTCCACACCAACATTGAAACGAATCAGCTAACATACTAACAAGCCAGCCCTCAGTTGGTTATATGGCTCTATGGATGCATCTTTTTTGAGAAGGGCTTCCCATCTCTGCCTTGGGATTTGTTTTGGTAAATATACTGTATTCTAGAAGATCTTAAAAGGGAAATTTTAGTTTAGTACCCTAAACATTGCGGGTAGTATTAAGTTAGCATCCCAACTTCAAAATGTGTCATTGCAGCACCCAAATTTTTTGAAAACTATCAATTTAGTACCCACTGTTAATAGTCGGTCAATTAACCCATGCACGTGATGACATGTGCTATTTAAAAATTTTTAAATTATCAAAACTATCCTTCAAAAAAACACTATTCATTGTCTTCTACTTCAAGACACTATGATTGTGTCTCATTTGCGGCAGCATCCCTCAACGTTTTACAGTTCCAAGATATGTTTGATGATGTGGTGAAAAACAGTTTTGTTGGTAGGTGGAGTGATCTGAAATAGAGGGAGAGGGGTAGAGATGTAGAAGGTGAGTTCTATTCTGGTTTGGTTATTCGTGCCTTGGGTATCATCTAAATCGGTGCTAAATTGGTTAATTGAAGAGTAGAAGGGGGTCACTAGAAATGGAAGTGAGTGATGGTTGTATTTAGGGAATCAGAGTAGGACAGTGATGGCACGGACAGGATGGGAAGACAAACAATCCCCAAGTCCCAACCTATGGATGATGAAGCTTTGGTGGCTCTATACCCTCCAAAAAGTTAAAAGTTGTGCACCATCATTTCTATCAGCTATTCACCATTTACTCCTGCTAAATTTATCCAAACCAATATATTTTGTGGAGAAAAAAACCTAAGCTATGTTAAGCTAGCTTGATAGAGAGAGATGTCAGTTCTCCCTGACGTCCAACGTTTACTCTAAGCTCTTATTAGAATAATGCAATCAATTCCTCCAAGCCTCTCAAACAAGGAATGTAAATTCGCACCCACATAATAACCAAATCTAGGTTTTCGGAAGACACCACACTTTCGCTATCATTTGATCGATTTATATTCAAAATGTCAGATTTCTTGTTAAGCTCACAACCCCAAATTGATGAAATTCTGAACCAAATCAGGTTTCTTGGTTTGCTCTTATATATGATGGGTTTTCGGAAGACACGACACTTACGCAATCATTTGATCAATTTATATCCAAAATGCCAAATTTTTATTACACTCGCAACCTGATTGACAAAATTCCGGATCTAATCGCAACCTGACTGACGAAATTCTGGAGCCAGATTTGATTTCTTGGTTTGCTCTTATATCTATCTAGGTATGCCCACAAGGCCCGAATGGGTTCCACAAAGAAGCGGTGTCCATCTTTTATTGAGATGCCCACAAGGCCCGAATGGGCGCCATGGATTATTTGGGATCGATCAGAATCCAACATGCCCTAGAAAAGAAACTTGCGTCGAAAGTGGTTGAGTAACCATGAGAAAAAGGTAGGAGCACTGGGAAGGGAGCAAACAAATATGATGTTTGTCACATCCCTCAATGCCCTTTGGTCCCAGAACCATGGCATTTAGGTGGAGGTCATTGTGAGAGAATCATGGTAAAAGAGGTGAGCAATGATCCTCCTCCCGTGGAACCTTTTTACAATGGTTTTATGTGAGAGTGGTAGATAAAAAATATTGAATGGCATTTCCTTTTACAAGCCACTTAACTTCTGTTAATGGTTTTTGTACTAAACTGACAGTTTTTTGAAGTTTAGGTACTACAGTGACTTTTTAAATTTAATTACTAATAACAAAACCAAAACCCTTAAGAATACACGGTAATAAAAAAAGGGTAAAATATAAAAACCTTCCCAAGTTTCTAACAATCTCTCATATAATTTTATCTCCTTAACTTTTCAAAAACTCGACAAAAACCTCCCTTCCGCCACCGTCCTAGATGGAAAACATTAGATTGATGCATTAGTTTTTTCCAAATATCCGTTCTGCCCTTTTATAAATTATTTTACATACAAAATTACTAAACTAATTCCATTTTAACTCAACAAAAAAACATGTTTCAGTAATTTTGTATATAAAATTACTGACATGATCGTTAAAGGAGGTTTTTGTTGAGTTAAAATTGTGTTACTTCAGTAATTTTGTATGTAAAATAATTTATAAAAGGGTAGAATGGGTATTTGAAGAAAAACCGGTGCATCAATCTAACGTTTTCTGTCTAGGACAATGGCGGAAGGAGGTTTTTGTTGAGTTTCTCAAAAGTTCAAGGGAAATATTTGTTAAAATGAAATTATAAGGGAGGTTTTTATGATTGTCAGAAACTTTAGGGGAGGTTTTGTATTTTATAAAAAAAAAAGAACCAGAGCTAGCAAAGTAAAGAAAATGCCCGAAAAATCAAAATATTCGAATGAGGTCATAAAGCATGTAGGATCTTGGACTCGGAGCAATCGATCCAATTTTTTCGACGATGAAAACATCTAGAGGTGTAAATCGGGTCGTGCCAGGCCCGACACGATCATGCGAGCCGTGCTAGGCATAGGGTTTTAGGTCCACGGGCCGACCCGACATGGCACGACCCAGCGGGCAGTGCAGCCTACGGGCCAGCACAACACATTCCATATATATTTTATATTAGTATATATATTTTACATATATTTATATTAATAAAATAAATAATTTTTTTAATTTTATTATACTAATTTATTTAATTATTGTATATATAAGCAATTGTATACACAAAAATCATATAAAATTAAAATTTTAAGTTTTTTTGTCAATTTTTTTTAAATAAATAGCTTTAACCCAATACACAACTCGACTTGACCCAAGGCTCGGCCCACGATGCGGGCCCATGCCGTGCGGGCCGCAGGGTGCCGGCCCGGCACGGCCACTACACCTCTAAAAGCATCCCTTCCTCTTTTTAGATCATTCACCAAACAGCCGAATCGAGGTCTTACAATCTCCGAAATAACTTAATACGATGCTTCCGAGTGTACTATAACGAGACCCATTTCTGTAATTTGACAATACATTTGCTGTAATATCTGTTTACCCAAAGGTAGAGCGAGCGAGCACCGAGCAGTTTCTCGAGAGACGAGAGTTTCCAGCAGAGAGAGTGAGAGAGAGGGAGCGACGGAGATGGAGGGTTTTTCTGCTCTTTCCTTCCCTTATCGACCCTTCTCCTTGTTCCTTTACGAAATCTTCTGATTCGCCACAAGTTATTGGTAAGATCTCTTCTGAATTTGATTCTTATGTACAATAAACCTGAAATCCTCTCATGTTTTCCTGGTAATTTTGTGATTTCAGATTGCAATTGTATGGATCGGTTGTAATTTCTGTTAAATCGTGATTTTCATAGATTTTAATCGTTCGTTGTGATTCAAAATTTCAAATGCCACCTATCTATAAATTCGGGAATTGGGATTTCTTGTAATTTGTGGATCTTGATGAGTTTGGTTGAGGATACAACCTCGTTTTGGGTGGAGCATTAGGATTATTTTGCCTCTGTTGATGCCTATTTAGGAGTTTATGTTTGGTCTAGGGTTTTTTGTGGTTCATAGATGCGGAGTAGATATAGCTTCTCACTAACGAAGGTGAAGTTGATTTTAAGCTATAATCTTGTGCAGTGGACGTAGATGGCATTGAAACTAAAGTGGGTAATGCTATATATGTAGCTGTATCAAGTGATCCAAGGACAGTTTAACAATTGAAGAAAATTTCTACATGTTGTTGCGCTTTTTATTAGTTGAGCACGATTTTCTGTTTTTTTTCTATCATTCGTTGCAAAAATGATACTTTGGACGTAGTAGAACGACATGATCTAGGCAGACACTGTGCATTCTAGGAATGGGGATGATAGTGGTGTCTTGCAAAATTTAAGCACTCAGACCAATTGTTTTTGGCTCTTTGTAGTCAAAAGAAATTCCTCCGAGATCACACTATCTTAGATTTTAACATTGAAGGTCCTTGGTAATTTCAACATTGAATGAATTCTTAAGTTCTGTTATATGAAAACTGACTAGTTGGTGGACTTTTCTGCTAGAATTTGAAGTGTAAACTTAGGGTTGCTTGTGGAATCAAATAGAGAATATGTATGAAGATCAACTGGGAAATGGGTTTGACTTATTATTTTACTTCCATATGGTCCATCCAACAACATAAAGATCTTCCCATCTGTTCTTTGATATGATACCCTTGTTGAATCATGACTGATATTTAATAGAGAAGTATTTACTCTGTTTATGATAAAAAATACAAAAATATTTTTAAGGGTATCATATAATTCTCAATCATTATAAGATACCAATGAAAAGTGTTCAGCAGCATAATACATATTGGTTTACTGTCAATAGTTAATGCCCTTTTGATGGGATATCTCTTGTATTAGTATTCAAACAAACATAACAGATTGCATTTTGTCTGCCTTTATAATCAAGACCCCAGGGAATTACTGCACCTGAGATAACTATTACTGCCACTTTGTTCAAATAAAAGCACAATTCCTCATACTCCATGTATTCTGCTTTTAATATCTGAACATGTTCTGACTTCTTTTTTAATTTTTTTGATTGGCTCTGAACATGTTCTGAATTAACATTAAGATAGGCACTAAATGATGTCTTCAGATGAGGACACAATCCAAAACAGTGAATTTCTGTTAGCATGAGGAATTATTGGACCTGAGATAACAGTTACTACCACTATTGATTAAAAAAAATAATAATAAAAAAATAAAAATAATAAAAAAAACGGTAACAGTTACTACCATTTTATTCCCTTGATTGTATGCTATTTATGCTACAAGAATATGAGCTTGTTTGCTTATCAGAGGGAAAAAAAAAGCTCATTTAGTACTCAGAAGACCTCTAGTGCCAACAGTAACCCTCTACAGTTATACAAACTCTAGTCGCTAATACCTTTTCCACAGGCTTGTTGTGTCATCACCATGTGGGGTTTTGCATCAAATGCCACAGCTGGGACTATTGGACTGAAAAATGGCAGTGAAAAGCCAAATCGATCTGTTTCAGACTGCTCAGATGATGAGGTTTCTTCAAACACCAGCAGGGAAGAAGGATTGGAATGCCCAATATGTTTGGAGTCCTTCAACATTGTCGAGAATGTGCCCTATGTTTTATGGTGTGGCCATACCCTCTGTAAGAACTGTGTTCTGGGGCTCCAATGGGCTGTTGTGAAGTTTCCTACTCTGCCAGTCCAGCTTCCTCTGTTCATTGCTTGCCCATGGTGCCATCTACTATCTTTCCGATTGGCATACAAGGGGAATCTCAAGTTCCCCCGCAAGAACTTCTTCCTCCTTTGGATGGTTGAGGGCATGAATGGTGATAGAGTGAAGTTTCATTCCCCTTTATGTGGAGATCATCAACCAGTTTGGTCTTCAAACAACAATGCAGCCTCGGGAAGCCAGGTTAACCACAGCAGTATCAGGAGGGTTCAGTACGTGCGTCAGACAGAACAGTCAGTGCCAAACGGCAATCATGTTAATTCAGTGGCCAACTACCTCAACATGGAAAGGCTACATGCTTCCGTACGCAAGTCTCTTGTTTTCTTTGCTCACTTGACAGCCAAATTCCCACTGGTCATTATATTTCTTTTGATCGTCTTATATGCAATACCCGCCAGTGCAGCTATCTTGACCTTGTACATACTCATCACAGTTCTGTTTGCACTTCCATCCTTTCTTATATTGTACTTCGCATACCCTAGTCTGGATTGGCTGGTGAGAGAAATTACCAGCTAAGATGTTTTGGCTCCTTTTTATCCTAGGAACACCATGACCATGTGTAGAATTTGAAGACCCTTTGACATGGAATCTTCTCCACTTAAAGAAAACAATACCAGCTATGGTGTGTGTAATTCGACGACTTCCCTGTTTCAAAGGATATGGATCCTCTTCTCTATTAATCGGAGGCCACATTGTCAACAAACCAGTCCGGGTTCTGTGGAATATGTGCTTGCTCTTCGTGAATAGAAATTTGGGTGGTGGCCCAGGTCTCGGTATAAAACTTTCTGTTTGCAAACAAGTGGTTTTTTTTAGTTTGTGTATCCAAAAGCTCTTGCAAGACAATTGGAAAGTCATTGTAATGGTGAGATCTGACGATTTGTTTTCGTGTTTTCTATGGAGACTCTGATTATTCGCTCCAGCCTTTTGTTGCATTTTGTAATTTTTTGCTTCCTTCTATTGTCAGGACGTGTTTTCTGAGGTTATTTCATCTTGTGCTAGATTTAGCTTCATAAGCAGCAAAAAAAAGAATGTCAGATTAGATTTATCAACAATCTCGTAAGAACTTTATTGCAAACTGAGAGTTGAGATTTGAGAGTTTATTACCAGTAAATTGCGGCTTAATCCTTGAAGACACTTTACTAGGACACCTGGGTGGGTTGCAAAGGGAAATCTGGTATATTCTTCGTCCAAGCTTAAGTTGGTATTATTCTTCATCCAAGCTTAAGTAACCAATTGAAGTATTTATCAAAAATTCACGGGTGGATTTTTTATTAAAACAACAAATCCCCGGTTGCATCGCCAGACATCGTACGTCACAAATAGAAGGGTTTTTGTTGTTGGCGAGGTTGCTTCTCAGCTGTCTGATACCAGGATCTTGGTATCTTAGATCAACGGCTTGCTGGCGCCTGGGATATTCTGATGAGTGATGAAGCCTGAAGGTTTGATCAATACCAATTTGAGGTCAGTTTTGCTAGTTGTAAGCCTCAAACAATGTTACACATTCTCCTTAATTTAGTGGGTGTTTGGTATTAATCTCGTTTTTTGAGAAAACAGTGCTACATAGGCATTATATTAGAGAAAGCGGTGCTTTGAACAATGCCTTCTTGTTTGATACTGTTTTTTCAGAAAAAAAATGTTGCTTCATATTATGCCTTGGAAATGGGGAAAGTGTGGTCGAAGCAAAAACATCAAATTCAATGTTTTCTGAAAAAAAAAATGTTACTGTCGGCGGAATAATGATGTGGCATCATCTTGGACGTTGGGCAATATAGATCATGTTGAAAACATTGCTGTCAGTATTGGTACCAAACAAAATCAGTATTGTTTTCTCAAAAAACAACTCAGCGCCAATTACAACTTTACATGCCCAACACCATTTTCTCATAAAACTGTGTGATGTCCCCAGCAGGCCAGCACCATACCAAACACCTATTTGGGTGTTGCCTTCAGGAATCGCACTTTGAGGTGGCATGAGAAATAGAGACCTTTTTTAGGTAGAGTACACTAGTACACACCCCAGAGGAATCAGAGTTGGGTACAGAACGGGGTCCACGTGAGGCCCACTTGTCAAAATGTCCCATCTATTTTGGAGGAGTGCCACTTCCAGGGTTGAGGCAGAACAGTATGCACTAAGGCTCACTAGTGCCTAATTGGAGGAATGCTGGTTCGTTCAAATCAGCCCCCCACAAAATGCTGATTTGATCTCCCTTACAATACAATACCAGTACTCTACTTTTCTATCCCATCTTCAATGAGTTGAGGCTAAATGAAGGTTTTCATGGGCTTTTATGGTTTAAGAGGTTAACATCCAGATTAACTGAAAAAACCAGGACCGATAGAGCATTCTGTTTTTTTTTTTTTTTTTGGTCTGGTTCAAGTATTACAACGTTGGTAAGATTTTTCCTTCAATTATATGTTTATCTCTTATTTTTCTATTAACACAAACATAGCCTAACCAAATGTTATTAGGGCACTGGGACATATCTTATTCCCTTGCAAAGGGAAAAACACATTAGCATCCTAACGCAGCCATCAGCAATGGGCATTGCCCCTACCTGTCCTGATAGGGTGGGTGTTTTTGTTTGAAGGACGGGTTTTGGGATTCTACAACCTATACAGATAAGAATAGCGTACAATATAAGGCTAAATCCAACCCTCCCTAATTTGCATATTGTTGGATGAAAAGCATATAAACTTTATGCATTTAGGTGTTAAATATAATAATATCTTATTTTTTATGTGAAAGATAATTGATAGTTTATGTGTTTTTTCGTGTTTTAATCAAATAATTAAAAATCGTGTTGTTTGTTTGTGTTATTTTACTTATTTATTACTTTTATATAACAAGAAATAATAAGAAACTATATGCAGGTTCTAAACCCATTCCCCCCTAATATTAGAAGTACTAAGGCCCATCGTTTGGTTGCATATAAGCAGATCAGAGATAGTACAAGCAGATCTCCTAGTATTAGAAGTAAGTATTGCTATGAAGTTGCCCCAAAGAAGAAAGCAACTAGTGGCTTAGATCTCAAGGCCCGTCATTTGGTTTGTAGGAATAGGCGTATACAATAAAAATTGGAATGGACCATTTTGATTTCAACTGTTTGGTTAGACAGAATTGGAACCCTTTTCCCATTCTTGGTAATGAAATCCCATTCTAGCTTATTTCAATTCCTACTCCAATTCTTGTCTGAACCAAATAAACTATGAGCCCATTTGGTTTGCAGGAATAGAGGTCTAGAATCGGCAATTCTGATTCCTACTATGTATCTTTATTTCAATTGAAAATGAGAGAAAAGGTTTGCATAAAAAAAGAAGAAAAAAACTTTGCTCTCATTTTTCAGGTTAAGTCTAACAAGTTTATATTCTTATAATCAGTGGCCAAGCCAAAAATTTTCTTTTCTTTTTCTTTTTTTTTTGTGTGTGTGTGGTGTGTGGGGGGGGAGCATTTTGGGAGGTGGAGTGTTAGAGAATAGAGAGTAATCCTTTACATTTAAGTTTTTTTTTTATTTTTTTTATTTTTTTTTTGAGGGGGGGGGRGGGGGGGGGGGGGGAAGAACCCACTTTATTACATTTTTGGCCCTGCCTTCACTTAGTAACCATATAAAAGTGGTATTAACTTTTTTTTTTTTTTTTTTTTTTTAGGGGGGGATGGGAGGGCAAGAACCCACTTTATTAAATTTTTGACCTGCCTCCACTTTGTTAGAAGGAGGGGTGTGGGGTGGGGGGAAGGACCCACTAAACCTAAACCAAAGAACATATTTGCAACGATTCAGCTTTTACTCTCTTACCAAATGCAGCTTTAAAATTCGATTTTCCTCCCATTTCTCTCTTAAATCACCCATTAATTCTCTTCTCCTTATCTCTCTTAATGAACTTTGTAAGAGTCAACCCGACGTAATAAGACAGTTAGCCCAACCCAACAGTTCAAACCATCATTTAACCAAGACCCAAAAATGTCATATGGCGATTGGATATAAAATCTCCTCGGCTCATCCCTACAAAAACTCTGCATGCTCCTTGACATCCACCTATACATATTCCTAAGATGTGCAAAGTTTTGTGGGGAGAGAATAAGGCCCATTGGATTGCCAATTAAACTGTCCTGTCCAGCCCAAGTCTTACAAAACTGCTCTCTTTTCTTTATTTTTTTTATGCCAATTACAAAACTGCTCTCAATTACATCCTAATAACACACACAGTCATACACATATAATGATCTTCAATTCTCTCCAATATTAACTTGAAATTTTAAATTTAAACTTCTTTCCCTTTCCTCAATTATTTATTAGCCTAGTAATCATCTCCCTAATCTCTCTCTCTCTCTCTCCATATAAGCTTAATATTAGGCTTTATTTGTTTGCCGTGTACATTTTGCTGTTTGTAATCATGATTTACACTCCTACCAGATATAAAATTTATACTTTTTATCTCATTTGCAATCATTGATAGTGCAAATTTTGTATTCCAAAAACTGATGCAAAATATGTACCAGGTTCCTCCTACTTCAATTCCCCCATATAAATTAGGGGCCGCATCATTTTGCTTCCTATTGACTCCAACACAAATAACCCTCCTACCGCTATTCTCTTTCGTATAAGGTGGGGACAACATCATTTGGATGGTGATCATTTGTAACCCTACCTGGCCAGTAAATTTCTGGGCGAGGAAGCCCAGCCCATCCGAGCCCATGATGATTACCCCTATGGAATGTGATGAGGGTGGATTTGGCCAAAAAACCCTTCATCAGAATGTTTGCCTTAATAATAAAACCAAGGTAGTCAACAGCAAGCCAAGTTGGCAACTTGTATAATCTTCAGAGTCCAGAGAAATATATAAGCCATATACTCTGCCCCAATTCCAGTTCAGCCAAATCAAATCAAGTTTGTTTAGGCTCAGCTTGGAAGGAATATAAATACAAATATGTACAGTACAAATTCATACAAAATACAAGGTATTGCACTCTACATATGAGCCTTAATTGCAGTAGTGTGACCAGCTTTAAACCTTAAGATATAAGTACTAGTACTTCAGATACATGAAAATTGAGTTCCTTCGACTGTACTTTGTGACCATGACCTTGTTATACGCTTCAAAACTTAAGAATAGTCTGAGACTGGAGGTTCGTGAGCATAAACCTGCTCATTTTGCTGCCCCAACAAGTGCAATCAGGTCAGATTTCTTAGCAGCCACTGGGTTTCCTGAACGACTTATTGGGTCAACATTACATCACAAGGCCTTCATTTTGGTGGGCAAGGCGACCAGCTACTTCCCCGAGATGACTTGAATAATACATTCTGAGTTATGAGTTATGACCTCTTCACTGGAGCTGTTAATAGATGATCGTGTTTGTAATGTTTGGCATACCAAATGAATGCGGAAATTCATAGTCGAATTAATAGTCATCCACTTAATCGCTATCCATTCTTTCTTGATATTTCAAGATCTTAGCTTTCAGTCATTGATGAGAAGAGGAAACCCACATGCTTTAATATCTTAAAACTTAATTTTATCTGCATAATTAATGAGTGTACACAATCTTCACAGAGGACTCTGAATGCTTATCTAGTTATCTTACCTTTTCCTTTCATACTTCATATTAGAAAAAACATGCCAGAAATGACTGGCAATAATGAAGACAACTTTATTAAAAGAACTAAAAGCAGTGAAACTTCTGTTTTTTACATGCCCCCAATTATTTCCTCTCCGTGTTGTGGGGTTGATCTAGCGGCTCTTCTTTTAACAACAAACAGCTAAGTAAGATGAACGCAAGGTGGGAAATCAGGGCGTTGGCCTGGTGGACCAACACAGAAAGGCTCTAGCCATGAACCCCCCAAGCTAGTTATCTGGATTTCTGTGTTGACAGTTCCCATGGTACTAGCAGAACCACTAATAAGCAATTGACTTGAGATTGAGGAGTGAGTCTCAGGTCCAACAAATGCATCATGTGGGTGTCTGGCAAAGATGCGTTTTATGAGTCGTTTTTCTTTCTTTTTTGTATTGAAAAACATTGTTGCAACAATTAGACTTGGAATTCATCATTCATGAGATGAAGGGTTTCATGAATTGTCAAGTTGACATTTTTTTTTTAATCTCCTTAGTGATCTTGAATCTCAAAATGATGTGGTACATTGAAATTTGAAAATGCTGACAGTTTTTTTTTTTTGGAGATGTCCTCAAGAAAATATAGTCAAAGCACCATATACACCAATGGCGTTCTTGATTGTTGGCGAAGCTGAACAATGCCCTGCCTTCTTAGTTGTATATGGTTGGATGGATGAATAGTTTGGTGAGGAGAAAGTCATATTGTAGTTGAGTTGTCCAAATAAGACTAAAATTCAATACAAGGCAACAAGGAAAACCAGCTGGTCATGGTCCTCTTTCCTGTATGTACAAGTTTCTGATGGACCTGATGGTCAATACTCAATAGAGATTTCCGGTTATGATTACTTGAAAATTAAATCTATATATTAAATTACCAGCCAAAAGTATCCCCCTTTTTTTTAATTTTTGTGGTACACAGTGTCCGATCTATTATACATATCAACTTACTTTTTGGTTAGCCAGTCTCCCTCCTTAACTAATCCTTCCCTACCAGTTGGTCGGAATGTCAGATTTCACGAGAGAAGAGTCTTACTGGCCCATCATATCCCTTGATTAATAGAAGATTATCTTTAGTTATTTAATTTAATTTATGTATTAAGAAAGTGTTTTTGAAAGACAGAACAAAGTTTTTCTGATTAATCATTTGTACCGAATCTTAGCTTTTTATTTTATATTTCTCCAGTTCTTTGGGCTCAGCAGAATACCAAAACCATGGGAAACATGTCTGAGATTAGAGATTACCTCTCTCTCTCTCTCTGCTTTTTAATAGCCCATACTGAAACTGTCACTGGAAATAAACCATTCTTCTTACTGTGGACAAATATAATTAATAAACAAGGCTTTTTCCATTGGATTACCATTTACCAAACCATGATATTACCAAAAAATATATTAAAAGCAAGAGCATCCTATGAGGGGGTTTAAGCTATTTACCGGAAGAATCCTTTTCTTTATAAGGACACTGGAAAAGCCGATTGGCCCCTCTACCCACTAAAGTCTACAAGCAGATAAGAACACAACATTAGTAAGAGACCCCAGTTCTGCATCTCATACATATAAAGAGGACAAAACTACAAAAACAAAACTGCCAAACATGGGATTCTAACTGTATTTTTCAAAGAACCCAATTAATTGTCCACTCATTTTGTTTTTATTTATGAAGCGGAAGCAACAGAGAAAAGGAAAAGATGAAATAGTTGGACATGAATTAATAGTTGAAGGGGCATTACTCAAATGGCAAGAGTCAAGAGATAGAGGAAGACAGGCTGTTACAAAGGCATGGCTTGAGGAGAGTTTGATAGCACCAGACCATTATCAGAGATTCTCAAGCTGGAACTGAAGCATAATTTGAAGTTTTGGACCAATGAAATGGGCCTTGATCAATGATTTTTGGAGCATCAAGCAACTTAACAACATCAGCTACAGTATTATCTGATTCTCACTCCTATGAGACGGTGACTTATCAGATAGAAATAAAGCATGAGATATATCTGTGACGAAGTCCGTACCAAAGTTCAGTGTTTCTTCTTTTACCTTTCCCCCTTTATAGGGACTGGTGCACACAGAGATCTGGATCTTTCAGTTCAGACTTTTACCTGTTCACACTAAAGACTACAGTCTTTGCCTATCTTTCCTGTTTTAAACAAGTTTCAACCCATACCTTACCACGCGGCAAAGTAGATATCCTGTTAGTTTTTCTTACCAAATTCAAATTTTGACTTTGAGAGGCCAATCAATAAGGGTGAGAAGAAAAGAAAACGACGATATATTGAAAAGTTAGGAACTGATACTGATTACTAGACGAGTCGATTCAACGATTTGGGAACTTTGGAATGCTTCAGTGCTGTTCGGGNGGGGGGGAAACGTGGCAAATCAAAGGATGTTTTAGGGCTGAAGTGGATTGGAGTTGTGAACACGTGGCTAAGAAAGAGAAACTAGTCTATTCCCTGAAAATTACCTCTCAAACCTCGAGAGAATTTAGCAGGTCCAGAGGAGACGAGAAATTGGCGGGTATCTATTTACCAGAGACGATCTCCATGGTGGGGTCTTCACTCTCCACGCTCTTTTGACAGCTCCTCCCTCTCTTGGCTTTTCTCTGTTACATCGTAAAATATTTTACTTTTTAGTTTATGATCTCTCATCTCTGTAACAAACACGCAATGTTATACACTTTGAAGGAAAACCCAGGGAACCCAGAAACGGCCATTGTTGCTTGCACGACCTGTAAAGCAAGAGAAGACCTTCTCAAAGACAACTCCTCATTGACTGTTGCTTTTTCTTCACTTTCCGGTGATTGAGAGTTGCAGAAAGGTATGATCCTGACATGCTCTCTTCATCCTTCTTGATTAAATTCTCCCTCCGAAAGGAGATTTTACTTTGTGGGTGTCAGATGGGTTGGTTTTGTTTTCTTTGTGGACATGGGAATTGCAGAAATATTGGATCTTGGTTGACTGTTTCAAGCTTCTGTTAGATTTGGGTAGATAAAGATGATCGGCTTTTATTTTCTTTGACCTCGAGTTGGATTGTTTCTTTAGTCTTCCTGGTTAAGGGAATTGCAGAAAGGTTTGATCTTCTGGATTTTATTTATTTTTCAGCATTTTTTATTAAATTCAGCATGTAAAGAAGTATTTTCAATAGAATTCAGAAGTGTTTTCTTCTTTTTAATTTGCCGGCGTTTGGAATTGCACAAACAAAATGATGATGGGTTTTCTTTAGGATTCAGATTTCCTTCTACAGAATTAAAGAACTATTGTTGATTGTAATTGATTTTTCTTTCAATTTATGGTTCAAGAGATTGCAGAGTCGTATGATCTTTATGGTTTTTCATCAAGGTTACTAATTCATTTACTCGCCAAAGAGAAAATGGAATTTCTAGTGTATGATTGAGATACTGTTGGTTTTTTCCTCTAATGGGATCTAGAAAAGCATGATCAAATAGGCTTTTTCCCACTGACGTAAATATTTTATAGATTTGTATATATTTCCTTCTTCCATTTTCTGTTTCACATTTAAGGTATTATCTTTTCTTTGAGTTATTTTGTTTAATTTAACACCCCCAAAGAAAAGAATATTACTTTAGCTGACATTCTTGGAACTAAGTATTAAATGGATGTTGCTGATATAGAATTATTGATGTCTTTTCTCTTCTCTGATTTTCTACTTGAAATGGATTTTTTTTAAACTTATTTACTTACAAGTGACTGAAACAATCGTGTAAGAATTTAAAATTCATGGCTCATTTAACAAAGTGCAAAATTAGGTTAAACATAGTTATTGGTGATAGAGTTCTTTTCCTATTGAAATCAATTCAGAAGGGTTATTTTCATCTCTTGTTATTCACTACAATGGACTGCACAGATGTAACTCAATGGGCGATCTCGTGTTTTTTTTTTTTTAATTATTTTCTGCTCTATTAATTTTTTTGGGGGGGTTTTCATGGATAACAAGGTTCAGATGGCAAATTGATATTTGTGATGTATTTCTACTCTATGCTTTTTCGTTTGGGTTATTTGTCAGTTTAGTAGTTGTTTGCTTTATCTTTTCTGATTTTGTTTTATGAGATGTGAAATGCAAAAGATTTAGGAAAAAGTCTGCACCTTGATATTTCTTGAGGAGTATTGATTAATTCGTCTAAGCAAGATATCGGTTCCAGTTATTCGACTTTAGACTTTTAGTTCATCCAAGTTCTTCCTGTTGTAGTAAAAAAGAATTTTTTTTTATTGTAAAAAGGCGCAGTGTGGTTTAAGACTCTTGAGATATTGACTAAACAAATCATTTGGAAATTGAAATTTATCTAGGACTTATTGTAATTAATAACTTGTAATTTATGGTATCATTTCATATTGGTTTAGTCAGATTTCAAGAATAAAAATTTGCAAACTTTCTTTTTATTTATCTTTTAATTTAAATTCATGGGAGGCCCATGAACTTCTGCAAACAGGAAGGAATATGTCATTTTTAACATTTTTCTTTATTTCCAGGTTGAAGAAGATCTTTTGAATATTCTCAAGCTCGTTAGTCTCTGTAATAAAATCAGATTGATTATTGGTAAGTTTTATTGATTTAACTAACCTTGTAATGCATAATATATTCAATCTTTTAGTAATATGAAAAATACTCTATTACTAGATTCATGCGCGTACACACACACATATAGCGACAACTTTGAATTTATAATCTTGGGTTCTTTCTTTCTTTTTCAGTCTTTTCCCTGCTTTGACCATAATGACCGAGGAGAATATCGAAATCCCAGCAACTCCAGAAAAAAATCCTGAAGATGGTAATTTAAAGCAAAACTCAACAGGTAAAATATGTACTCCAAGCAGTAGTGAAAATATTCTCCCCCATTATCTCAGAGCTTCTACTGGTTCCTGCCATGATTTCTGTAAATATGGAAGGAAACATGCATTTGAAGCAAAGGGAAAGCATCCTTTATGGAGAGGAATCACAGCAAAACCAACTGAGGACCAAGATGTGATTAAAAGTGCAACTCTAGTAGAAAGGAAGAAGAAATCTGTGATCCTCAATCCTTCATCAGATCAGAAAACGGAGTTACCCAATAAACCTAAAATTATCAAGCAAAAAGTTTCAACATCTGCCAAGAGAACAGATATCTCTGCAAATGGAATTTCATCACCTACTCAGAAACTGGATATCTCAGATTCATCACCTGCCAAAAAAATAGATGGCCCCAAAAAGGAAGCTTCATCACCTGCTAAGAAAATAGATGTCCCTGAAGAAAATATCTCATCACTTAGCAAGAAAACAGATATCTCTGCAAATGGAGTTTCATCACCCACCCAGAAACTGGAAATCTCAGATTCATCACCTGCCAAGAAAATAGATGGCCCGAAAAAGGAAGCTTCATCACCTGCTAAGAAAATATATGTCCCTGAAGAAGAAACCTCATCACTAAGCAAGAAAACAGATATCTCTGCAAATGGAGTTTCATCACCCATCCAGAAACTGGATATCTCAGCTTCATCACCTACCAAGAAAATAGATGTCCCTGAAGAAGAAACATCATCACTTGGCAAGGAAACAGGTATCTCTGCAAATGGAGTTTCATCACCCACCCAGAAACTGGATATCTCAGCTTCATCACCTGCCAAAAAAATAGATAGCCCCAAAAAGGAAGCTTCATCACTTGCTAAGAAAATAGATGTCCCTGCAAAAGAAACCTCATCACTTAACAAGAAAACAGATCTTCGTGCAAATGAAGCTTCATCATCAGCCAAGAAGATATATGTCTCCGCTAAAGAAGCTTCATCATCAGCTAAGAAGATATATGCCTCTGCTAAAGAAGCTTCATCATCAGCCAAGATATATATCTCTGCTAAAGAAGCTTCATCACCCACCTTATCTGCAAAGCCTTCAAACGCTGTGAAGCCAAAGCCTGTTGCAGCAAAGCCATCCTCATCCACCTTGAATCTTACAGGGAGTTCGGGGATTAGAGGAAAAGGTGATAAGAAGATGGTGAAGAACACAAGGAACTCCAATATAGGTCAGAAAAAGGCGTCAGTGCCTCCTAAAGCTTCTCTTTCCCCTAAACCTTCTTTCAACAGAGTTATCAGCTTTACAAGAAAAATTCGGATCCTGAAAGCAACTTCTTCTTTGAAGAATCAAAACCAAGGTAGGAAGGCTCAACCCAAGCCATCCAACAATGGTAAAGTCAAACAAAAGATATTGAATACCATTGAGCCAAAACCTGGGAACAACCGCCTGAGGCCAGCTAAAAATGGAACCGATACCACTAGACTCTCTCTATCATCATCATCATCATCTGTTTCTTTGTCTGCTTCATCCTCTCAACCTCTGTCATCACAGATGGAGAAAGAAAATGAGGAGACAGGAGCGATGAATTCCACCTCTGAACACAATGAAACTGAAAATAAGAAACAAATAAAGACAGTGGAATTGGTATCCAAACGGCCTAGAAGGGGTGCAATTGTTCATCCGGAAAACAACCCACCCCAAAAGCTAAATTTTAGGAGAGGGAAAGTGATAAACATTCAATCCGAGAATCATGCTCCAAGGAGACTCAGATTCAGGCAAGGAAAAGTGTTGGGGGAGAATCAAAATGGGAAGGGTGATGCTGGGAGGAGAAGCTTTAGGAGGAGGAAGGAAGCAACTGATGGTGACCCAAATGGTACTAAACCTGAATCAGAAAAGGTTGTTCTGAGGCACCAAGATGTGCAGGGAAAGAAAGACACTCGGGGCTTGTTTAATAATGTAATTGAAGAAACCGCAAGTAAGCTTGTTGAGACCAGGAAGAGCAAAGTCAAGGCATTGGTGGGTGCTTTTGAAACTGTTATCTCCCTCCAAGAGAGCAAACCTTCTACTGCAGGTACTGCATGAGTTATAAAGATACTTTTCTCTTTAATCATACGTTGGTTTTGTAAAGAATAATCTGAAATGACCAAAATTTTTTATAAGGATAGTGGAGTGAATCCTTACAATCTTGTGAAGTTGCAATGGTGTAAATGGAGAGAGTGAAGTGAGGAAGCCTGGAAGAAAAAGAAAAAGAGTCTTTTTGTGTGATGATTTTGACATATAAGATTTGTGTTTGTTGGAGGATGTGTAGTACTTGTTCTTTTTCAATCTTCTATACAAATATGATTGATTGATTGATTTTTTTGGCATTAGAATGTAATTAATTGATCCCATTACTCATACTTTATCAATGAGACTAGCGTTAACCTGTAACTAGTGGTTGAGATGTGGAATTTGTTTAGTCCTGCTTTTCTTCTTTTATGGGCACAATTGGATGGTTTTGATTTTGCTTTTGCTGTTCTGCCAGAAACCTGTATTGTAATCCTAACTAGATTGATATATTGATAAAAATCCTTGTAAAGAAAGAAAGCCTAGTGAAACAATTTGGAAAAGATGCAAAGAAGAGACTGACCTGAGAATATCCCACATGGCAATGTAGTTGAGGTCTCCTCCTGCAGCTGTCAACTCTAAAGCCTCCCATTTTGAAGTTGATAACATATTATTTCTTCTCCATGAATGGGATTCAGAAGGGGGGTTAGTGGTTATGTCTCAGAAAACTCGAAACACTGGGTAATCTGTTATTTCAGTTCAATTTTGGGGCAAATCCTATGATTCTGGCCCTGGACCAGTCTCAGCTACCCGTTCCCGTTGGGCCAATCTGAAACATATGTTTTATCAATCAGCCCCTTTTTTCTGTTTCTTTTGCCGAGCGCTTTCTCAAACAATCTTAATTTCCGATTGTTTCCCAAGAAAGTGAAAATTCAACAGTTTATGTGCAACTGTCAGTGCAGATAAGGGAGGTGTTTGGGACCATTGTGAATTTCTCAGAAATCAGCGCCATGTCCGAGCCAATTTTGGATAAATGGCTTCAAAATCAATTACTATTATGCAAATATCGGGCCTGGATGAGGAATTACCAATTTTTATGACTTCCCAAAAACCATTTTTAGGAGATCGGCTTCCATCAGAGCAAACCTGTGCCCATACCCTTTTACAACCTTGCATTGAGAATATCTCTCCATTTTTAGGTCAATTCGTTTTTTTATTTGATGAATACATTGGTCGTATTGGGATCTATTATACCTGACAGAGCATGTCTCACCTGGATTTCACAGCCGCATCATCCCATTCTATTGGAAATATCCTTCTATAAATAATAAATATAAATACGGAAAATGTTCTCAATGTATGATTAGGTAGATCTATTCATGGGTCGAGCTCGAGCTTAATTTTTGTCAAAATTCTAATAGAATCAGCCGGATACCTTTCATATTATCGAAAGATACTACTAAACAAACATAATTGCCATTTTTTCAGAAATCTTACGTGGCAGAAATGGAACCAATTAAGCAATATTGCTGACTTTTTTATGAGAAATCACATTGGAGAAACCAATTTCTTTTTACTTTAAAAAACAAAGAAAATACAAATTCAAAGAAAATAAAAACAAAAATAACCATTTGCTTGTATTTGCGTGTTCATCATGCGATAGCGATACTTAGAATATTGGGCTAGGCTTCGTTTGGTTGCATGTGAAAGGAATGAAAACGAATTTAATATCAAAAACATAAAAGGTGAGTCATGACTCATGAGTGGTAATTATAGGAAAACGACGTTTCTTCTTGATTTTAAGTCATTTTCTGAACAGAGATTGTAATTGGTAGTTTTTCTTTCATACACACATATATATATATATATATACGTCTGACATGTCAATATATCAACATCATAATTCATAGGGTTGGTCTGGAACTGGAATTTTAACTCTGACAGAGGTATTTACCATGATCCATCCATTCGATGGATAAAGCACATCCTTTTCAGGTGCTCCCCTATGCATATTATCCTTCCCTCGTCCTTTTCAATCATTTCTCAAAAGCTCTTTGTCTTGCTTACGACTTACGGGGGAAATGTTTTCAGAAAGCCCATGCTCACAAGAGCGCGTGAAGTAAATGATTCTAAGACCATCGCTTTATTGTAGATTCTAATCCCACGGTCATAAAATCGTTTTTATAGTTAAGTGCAGATCTTCTTGTTGTATTTCATCATCGTTTTCGTCTCCGTGCTTCCGATCCGAGGTTGATGCCGACCCCTTTTTTATGTTTCAGTCAGTTCCACGATAGCTGATGAGACAGAGCCACGGTTACCGGCGAGCCTGTGAATTATCGCTTCGTCGGACGAAAATACCCTTTAATCCTGGTCTGTTCTTTCTAGTTTTTTCAATTGCCCTATGTCTTTCATAAAACCCTAATTCGTATTCCTCTTCGTCCTCTTTTTCGCTTGGATTTTCGGAAGACCTAACGAGAACTTAATTGGCTGGTTTGAGGTGAGAAATTCCGCTTTTATTTCGTTCCTTTTCTTCTTTCGCTATGTTCGGTTTCTGCTAATCCGCATGCTCTTGTATAACTAAATTTAGCCAGAGTGCTTGGGTTGATGTGATCTGAATTGGGCTCTAATGAATTATTCTGTTTGTTTGAGTTAAGTGCGATTCCGTGGAATTACGGAGAAAAGGAAATGTAGATCTTACTTACAGAGAGAATATGTTACAGAATGTCAAAGAAAAAAGTGCGTGTGTGTGTGTGTTTCAGAAAAGTTCTGAACAAATAATCACTTAAAATTTCGTGGTATTTCTATAGATTTTGTTAAATTCTGTTCACAGTATCGCTGTTGAGGCTATCCGAATCTATAGTTTGGGATGCGACTCAAACATGCATTCTATAAAGTGGAACCTAAAATTTGAGCTGGAAGAGGATCTACTATCTTCTGTCCAGAAAAGGGTCTCCTTTACTGCTAATCCTTTAAATTCATCCTCTAATCTGAATGGGCGAGTTTGACTCGTGACATAATTCGTTCAGAATAGTTGGTCATACATCTCTAGAAGTGCAATGAACCTTTAGGACACAGTAACTTCTGAGCCAGCACATTGTGTGAGTGTGTACTTCTGTGTTGCTGGAAGATATGGTCTTGAGATTTTTATCGTATGGCCTATGAGGCAATATGCATCAAGGTAGAGATTTTATCATGCTGGGCTTGAGATTTGAATTAGTGTCGATGTTTGTCTTGTATGCGATTCATTTAAATCCATCTTGGTTTTTTAGTAATACAATCAAATTTATAGAAAATTTCCCCGATTTAATGCATGTAGTAAGGGCTTCACACATTTGTGTTATCTCACTTCTTAATAATTCTAGAAGAGATGCATTTCAACATGATACATTGGAATTTAGAAAAGGAAGGGGAAGAGTGATATCTCTAGGAAGAAAGCTGACTTTGGATGTTGTTGCTTGCAATTTTGTATCATACATGATTTCCAATTGAACTCAAAACTCAACTAAGCAAAGTCCAATCTAGCTGTATGGAGTCATCCATGCCAACCCTGGTTTGTCATTCCACTGTATCCCTTTAACCCTTTTCATCATTCAACTCTATCAATTACCAGTGAAACTTGAAAGAAGAGGGGAAGGAAAACTAATCAGACTGAAATGAAATGAGGTTTGATTTCTTATAGGAGTTGATATAATCTGCAGATGGCAATCGGTGTATATGATATTATAATTCTGTTAGCTTTTAAGTTTTCTAAGAGATTTATGCTTTTATTCAGTCCAGCATCATTGTCAGTCTTTAACTTGCAGGATCCTAAACTCACTTAACCTTATGAATTTTATGTACAAGGATCATGATCTCTCATGTATGCAATAAATCTAGTAGTGAACTCTTATGCAATCACTGGTAATCAGTTCAGTAAATGAAGTCAGCCCTGGATCCACTGAGGATCATTGGTCGTTTAGGCTATCTGTCTAATCATAATAGGTGCAGATAATGATTGTGACCAAGCAGTACCGTTGTATACACTCAGCAAGCTGTTTATGCACAAAAGGTCACCTGAATGAAGATGTAATTTTCCTAGTTTTCCAACAACTTAATTGGAACCCTAGGTTGATTGCCACCCTTTCTTGTGTATGCAAATGGTTTGATGACATTGCAAAGCGGGTACTGTGGAAAGAGTTCTGCTGCACACGAGCCCCCAAGATGATGCTTGATCTACAATCTAGTGGGAGTCACAATGTGGATGGGAACTGGAAGGCACTTGGAAAGCTGCTAATTTACTGCTCAGGATGCAAGAATGGTGGCCTGTTTAATAGTATTCAGATCCCTGGCCACTTTGTTTACAGGACCCGGTTTTCCAGGACATCAGGGAAAAGCTTTCTCTTACCCCAATGCAGAACAGATGTTTTGTATGTCTCTGACCCTTGTGAGCATCTTGACCAGGGAGAGGAGGGCGATGTGGGATTCTTCCGGGGTGTTTTCAAGTCATTTTCAGTGTCAAGGGTTCGGAAGATGTTGATAGATAGGGAGGCAAAACTTCACCCAACAGAGGCATGCCCATATTGCAAGTCAAAGTTATGGAGCATGGTACAGGCCAAAATGATACCACGGAGTGCATGCCCATATTATGTGTGCCTTAATGGGCACATGCTTGGGATATGCACTCTCCTACCCCTGTCTGATTCAGAGGAAGCTTCTGAGTTGGAGTGATTGTTCGAACAAGACAATGGTATTCTCTCAACATCAAGCTATAATTTTTTTTACAGAACAAAAATTATTGTGCATTTAAAAGAGACTATGGCTATGGTTTTCCTCATACAGGATTTTATTGTTTAAAAATTCTTCTGATAGTGGTCCAGAACATAATTCTGTTGTATAGGAATAACATTGGGATGGGAGTACAGGAAAACTTTCCTGCATGCTGCATCTGAAACTTTTCCAATTGGATGAATTTTATGGTATTTCCTATACACTTCTTGAGGTCTCCCCTCCTCAAACCAAGGCCATTATTTCCCATGTTCTATTTATCTGAAGAAGCACAAGAGATTAGGTGGTTAGGGTCTTTTGTTTTATTTTACTTTATGCTTCTAGAGGTATCTTACATGGGACTTGGGAATGATAAACAACTCACCTACACAAACTAGCCCTTTCCACCCTATTATTTGGGGATACATACATACAGCTCCCTTGTCAGGTAGCAAGCTAATCTCCAATGACCCAGGCCCAATCTTTTATTCCATCTAATGTTTCAATTTATAGATGTCACTTGCTTTTCAATTTCTTTTGAAATATTTAATATTAAATTTAACCCTTTGATTTCTTTTGCTGTGGCAGATATGTGTTATTTTAAGTTTGGAATATCTTTCTAGTGCAATGGAACCTACTTGGAAATTGGCAAGAGAAAACTGTAAAAAGCTGTTATGTGAACTCATTGTCAGCAAGGCAGATGGCATTTTTCCCCAAGCTAAGGGCATTGTGCTGCCAAATCTTTCTGTAAAAACATAATACTTCGAATTAAAGGGTCAATGTTGTTGCTGACCTTCTCTTCCCGTTGTCAAATATTTACCCTATGTTACTATGAACCCTGTAATCTTTTGTACATTGTAAGTTCCTTAAATATGTATTTGACTTGTAGTTTGTTGTTCAGACTACACTACACATTAATTTGAACATACCATTTCTAATGTCAATCTGTTCTTTTAACAACCTAAATCGAAGAATTCCCTCTTACTGGTTTCATTCTCTGGAAGGCTGACTGCTGTTCAGTCTGTTTCTGTAATGCATATTAGTACATTTTCATCATGACATCACCATTTCTTCAAGCCACAATCAATCAAAGAATTATTTGCAGTCTGAATTATACAGATCCCATGAAACAATACTTTACATTTCATATATGCCTAGAAGCAGAAACATGTGACGGGAACTTTTCCTGTTGACCTGATCTTGTTTGCCTTCTCTTTGACTTCAGATTCTTCTTTTTTCCTTTGTCTTTCCATATTTTCTCTTGCTGCTTGAGCAATCTGATTAATCTTTGCTGTTTCATTGCTAAAATGTTGCAAGGCTCTTTGCCTTCTCCTTTCCAATTTACCCTGCATGACAAATAGGTGATCAGTTGCTATAATTGACACCCATATTTTTCTTTAAATTCCAGATATGTTAAAGCAAAACCTCTTTCCTATCCAGTCGGCGTTTAGCTTTTCTCTTCTTCTCATCTTCCCATAATAGAATTTGGTTCTTCATCTGCTCATACCTGAAATTTCCACTTATTAGTCAAAGAACAAAGTCAAAATTTAGTAGTTTGATATGAACGTTTCTTTTTATTTAAAGAGATGTGCTGTGTTCTGGGTCTATTAGTTTTCAATGTTTCAGGTACTGTCTGAAAGTTGTGACAAATTGTATCTTGTTTTTTATTTTTTATTTTTAAATCAGATTTGCACCTACTGTTGGTTATCTTAGAGCAATTTGTGAGCTCTTTTCCCAAGTAAATAAGTAAAATACCGTTTTCTAATCTTTGCCATCTCAGCTTTCTCCCAAGCAATTGCTCCTGCTCCTCTGCTTCCAGGTTTTGTTGAGTTTTCTTTAAGCTTTTCATCTTGATCTGTTGAGAGTGTAGGTTTTCTTCTGGGCGGTGGAGTTGGTGCTGGTTTTGTATCTATTGAACTTCCTGGTTTCATGCTCTGCGTCTCAATCAAGATTTGATCAGCCAAAGTTGGGGACTTCTTGATTGTCGGGACTCTGCTAACAATCTTTTCTGGAACCTTCGCATTGGTGGTGGCAATATCTGTCATTCTTCGATCCACTCCCTCTGATTTTTTCACAGAAGAATCATCTGTGACAGGCCAATTGTAATCCATGGGTAAAAGATAGACGCAAACTTATATCAAACATGAGTCAGAAGACCATCTTATGTTTGGTTTTCCTCTTTGGTTTCTTACCTGAAAATCTTTTGGATACTCTACCGGCTTCTCGTGGTCCAGTTGCAGTTGCGCTATCTTTTTTGCTGTGGGCCTTGGCCACAGTGGTTTCTTGTTGTTCAGTCTTCATTTTTTGCTTCTGTAACTCCTCTTCTTCAAGGGAATTGATGGCAAGTACAGTGGCTGCAACAGAGGCTGCAAACTCACCACCATCACTTGACTCAGGATCCCGACTGACTGTGCTAGAAAATAGCCTTTGAAACCAGTTCTTCTTCCTTTCTACAAAACATGACAAGAATGGCTTATTTATCATCTCTGCATTAATGTATTCGAGGTATGTCTTCATGGTTTCAATGCATGGGTAGCAGTAAGAGGGGAGTATTTTCTTGTTCAAAGTTGATAATGTTCAGCATGTTAACCGGTTCTGGGTCGGTTCAATCAGAACCATGTCCTAGCCTTTTCCCACCCAACAATAACTGAACAAAACAAAAGCGGAAAAGTTGACTAAAAAACATAATCAAAGGAATTTGAAATGTTCATTACTCTTTCATACCTCTTTTCAAGGAACTTGTCTTTTGTGGTGGTATCCGTCTTTCTCTTATAGTGGTGGGATTTTGTCCATCCTGTCCAAAACCAGGAAATCTCACCCTAACAAAGTGGTCAGTAACCTCAAATAACCAACGTTCTACAGATTAAAAGAATCAACACATGAACATAAATATCGGGAGAAATCCATAATCAAGATAAGATCCTGGGTTGTATATTTACTTCCAATCCAAAACATTAAAAGCGGCAAACCATGTTACTGACTTCCAATCAAACTTCCAAGAAATTTATTTTCTCTTCTATGAATATCTGCCACTGTGGATTTACAAAATCCACTACACAAATAATAGAAACCCAAGTGCTGAATTCCATTAAATTTGGTGCTAATTATGTGCTTGTTATCAGTCGCTTGTTTATAGGAGGTAGGATTTTTTCCTTACCATTACTTGGTGCAACAATGAAGACCCAGTTAATGGAAGACCCTTCTCATAACGAAATCTCAGACTTATTTTTGAAATAAGTAAACATAGATGAAGGACAATCTCCAACAACAGTCAACTTAGGATAAGAGAGTACCTCACTTGCTTAATCGAGTTTTCCATTCTTTCAGACCACTGGAATGAATCCCCTAGAGCTTCTTCGATGTTGGTTTCCGTTTCACTGCAGAGGGTTATGCCTTTGATTTGGGTATTTATCTGTAGAAGCCTAGAAAAATAAGGTCTTGGAAGATTGCAATTCTATTTGCTAGTGAACTGGGGAGGGGGGCAAGCAAGCAATGTGTCTTTGTCACTTGTGCTTTGCACGCAATTCCCGGTTTGGATCGCAATTGGGCAAAGGAAAGCATACTTTTTTCCCTCATGCCTGGGTTTTGATTTTTTTTTTTCTTTTTCTTTCTATATGTTTTATGCTTTCTTTCCATGGAAGGCACGCACTAGTTTGAGGTTTTCATGATTATTCCCTTATATGGGGCCTGAAGTTTGTGAAAGGTCAAAAGTTGTAGAAAAGGGGTGAAGGGATTGATCCCTACCTGGTCAGTCACCATGTCACAACCAACTTATTCCAGTTCTCTCATTCCAGATTATTCCCCAGAATCTCCTCTCCTTTTCATAACTACATTTTCTTGGTCAATATGTTATTGGTAGCTGGCATGAAGGAGTCTTTGTCAAACACAAAAGTGCTTGCCTCAAGTTTCTATGATTCCTTAGATGAGATCTAAACCATTTTATTTGGGGAGGAAAGCAGAACTTTTATTCAAGTAGAGAAAAAGATTTACAGACAGTTTATCTACATTCTTCAAGAAACTTTTGCTTTGTTTCAAGGAGCAAAAGTTTACTCCATCCTTTATTGTATGGTTTAATTATCCTAGACAAGGGGTTTATTTTTGTTTGAAGGATGCAAGGATCATTGACCAATGGAAAAACGTCGCTCCAATGAATTTTAAAATTATTTCAAACATGGGTAGTGCATCAGAAGAAGACTTTTCCTCCTTCCATAAAGGAGAAAGGAGCCTAAGTATTTTTTTTTTTTTCTTATTATTTACTGTCAAAAGGAGTAGTTCCTCTTTAAAAAGAACCGAAGTGAAACAAAATTTCCTATGACCCTGGAATCTTTGGCTCTTTTATTTTTTTTTTGTGTTCGGTGCTACCATTAATAACTTTTCCACTGACCCCTTTTGACCCCTTTTCCCCAAAGTGGTAATTGCGTAATTTTGATTCCGCATCAACACTGGAACAAACCAATTAACAAACCAACGAACCAATCCTGGATCGATTAATCTTTAGCTCTCTTGTTGAAGTACAAATGAAATTGCATTGCAAAGGCCTTTTGTGTAATTTTACTGATGCACTGGGACCTCAATCTCCTTAACTCCATGGACTATGGTTATGAAGTTGTTGAGTTCGATTGGGGCCTAACAGAACAAAAATAGAGTAGTAAACATAAGGGTATACCGAAGAAATTTCTTCCGACTTTTCTGACAATCCCATAAACCTTTCCCATGTTTTGATACAAATAGCAGATATAGTAGAATCATGTTTTCAGTAATAAACACATTAAACTTGTCAAAATGCTCTTATTACCGTTAAGCATTATGTTATGGTATATAAGAAACACCAACTAGTCTATAGCTTACAAATCTTCCGCAATTCGTAACTTTTGGGTTTTCATCTGCATTGGTCTCCAATAAGGTTTAAAATTTTGATACAATATGCCTAATATAGGGCGTATCGTATCGTATCTTTTAAAAATAGATATGGGATACGTATAGAAATCGTGCGTATTGTCTTTTTTTCATGCGTATCGGAGGCATACCGGAGGTATATCGAGGGTGTATTGGGGTATATCGGGGGTGTATCGGGGCGTATCGGTAGCGTATCAATGAAAAAGATATGGTAAAAAACTGAAAAAAAATAAAGGGGAAAAATAAGCTTCTTTTCCCTGAAATAAGCCTTCTTTCCTCCCCCCC